AGGCCTGGAACCGGACAAGGGAAAGCGCAAGCGCAAGCGGTCTCGGGAATTAAGGAAGAGGGCCACGCCTGGCTCACAGATATCTTGGCTGGTTATTAGAAGCTCTTACTTTCAAGACAGACTGGGAATTAAACATTTATGCTCGATTGAAATGCGAGCAGGAGCTTATTTGGGTTAAACATGGGATAGGACGATTTTCCCTCATTATAGGGCTGCGAAACTACATATAGGATTTCAGCTCTGACAAAGGCCTCCACCATGGCTAATTGGCAATATATGCTGGCTTTATGACGGGCTGATTAATTACAGATATCTAAGTCTTCAACAACAAAGAAGGAGCTATAAACGAGACATTAACTATCATTACGCAGCATGCGATCCGTTCTATATTGTCCGTTCTGTCTCACTCCACTGTCGATGAGCTGGGGTGACCGAGAGATTGTAATATATTCTTGCAAGTAGGATTTCAGCCGCCCCATAGTTGGCAAAAGTTGCCTCTGAACTTTACGCTAATCAGCCTATTGGTCAAAGTGTCAAACAAGTGCACGACCGGCTATCTTTCCTGTCATCGCCTTTTATCAGCATCGGAAAATAGGAAAGATATGTCGATAAGACTCAACCGTTAATAACCAACAGAGATCGTTCCAATTTAGCTATAAGAACAAACAACATCGGGGCTTTGCTGTTCAGGCTCCTGTAGCCGAGATGGGTGCAGGATGACACATAGACAGACCAAGTCCCTTATGGACAATTCTTGGTCTTCTCCTTTCGTTCCCTCGGACAGCTTACAGAGATCGAAAGCACACTCCCAGATTTAGGGCATTTCGTTACTATGGAGGTCCATAATCAGTGCCAGATTGAAAAGGCACGTCTAACGAGCAGTATCATCACCAATACATCTAGTGTTGCCAACACTGTTACTTCTGCTATTTAATGTAGAAATTACTACCATGTCCACATCCACAATTACGTTCCATGAGATCTATGAAAGCTCATGCTATGCAAACTCCAGGACCCATCAATCGTTACACCACTAAATGGATTCAACATAGCACAGCACAGACCAATCCTTCTCAGAACGTCTCAAGTGGATTGAAACCAGAACTCTGTTCTCATCTATCATGCCAGATGGCTGCCTTGCTATGAGAGGAGCTAACGATGTTTTCGCCATATTCGAGGTGAAGCCATTCGTCTTCATGAAGCAACGAGAGCAGACTGTCTGACAGATGTTGCTAGAGATCGTGGCATGGATTGCGAGTACCACGGAGGAAAAAGAAAGGACCTAGTTTTAAATCATTGTGCTAAGATGCATATAAGCAAGGCATGCTCAAAAGCACTGGTTCCCTTGCTTTCTCTACCTTATTGAACAAAATGAACAGTTCTACTATCAATAGGGCAAATATAAGATACTACCGACCCACCAAATCCTACAGCAGGATGGATACCGTCCTATAGTACTAAGATGAAGAAAATTCTACATAAGCTAAAGGGTTTGGAGTATGAAGATCACCGAATTCTCTAAATGGACAATGTTAATCTTCGGTAACAATCACCGACTGGTGTCAAGTGATGATTGGTCAAGGATTCTACAGGTACCGATGCCCCGACAGATTGATGCGCTCCAGAGATTATTTTTCCCAACCCCGGAGGACGTGAAGAAGGGCCGGTTGAGACGAGACTATCTACGACTTCCTGAGGAATATGCGTCTGAAAATATACCGCTTCCATCACTTACTATGCCACGGACGTGGCTTAGGCACACCTTCAGATATCGGAGGCCAGATTTCTTATATCTTGGGGGTTGTTGTCTGACGAACTCGGCAATCTCTTTTTCATTTACATAAGATCGAAGTGTGCGCACCATGATCATATTGATACTCATATATATATTAAGCAGTCTGACCATAGTCCTATCTTATACCCCACGGCTCGTGATGCCCCTCAATGCCAGGACCTATCTCATCGCGTCTAAATGCCGCTGGTCTCTTCTCCGCAGAGTGGCCTACCGCCGTTACAAAGTCCCACAGATGGTCGATACGAAGAATAACTCTCGACCTTATGGAAAAAGTAAACGAGATATGGCTATCAATAACTAGTTGTCTTTCGAAGGACTCAAAAGTCTACAAGTCGAATGCGGCATCAGACGCCCAAGAATCGTCTGTTCACTACACTAATCACAGCAAGTTGAGCAGATCCAATTGGCAGAGGTTTCTAGTTGATACTGACCGCGATGTCTGGGTGGGTCAAATTAAGAAGTCATCGACACCGCACTGCAATTTATATTAGATCTATACTCGTCTAACAACTATATCCAAATGACAAGATCCTAGCTGGGATACTTAGGAAAGCTGATAGGGCATTTAAGATGTCTATCTTCAAGAAACGGAGCAGCCGTGGAAGATTGTTTGGATGGAGGGGTTGTTTTTATATACTAATGAACTTTTTAATTTTGGCGTAACTTGAGAGAATTCTTCAAGAATTGTACCTCCAAGGGGAGTGATTGGTACTGACTAGGTCTTCCGAAAAGAAATGTCAAATTGGGGGTTTGATTGCCGCAAAGAAACAGAAGGGTGTCTTAATGGTGAAACCATTCTAATACTTCCGATAATAATGGACTAGATCTGAGAAGGGTTCAACTTGTGTACTTTAAATCTAGTTGGGAATATACGGGCCGAAAGACGAGTATTCTATGTACCACCGTGTTCATGTACATCTGTCTAAAGAAGCATATGTATAAAGCAAGTCTATAAACAAGCAGGGTATAGCCAATTAATCCTTGAACGCCAAATTCATGATAGTATAGCTCACTCAATAGAGATCATAGCTTCGCCTTCTCCACCCACTCCAGTTCCAATAGCCTCTCCCCCTCCAGCCGCCACTGCTTACCCTTCTCCAGAACCGCATCCACCTCTTCATCCGTCAACGGAACAGCAGTTTCAAGCGGAATCTCACGAACCGACTGCAACTTGTAACCAATAAAGGTAATCTTCGCCGGAGTAGGGGTATCGGCAGTAATCTTGCCAGCCATGACATCACGACAGAACTGCGCCGTGTCGTCCAAGAAGCGACGCGACGAGGGCGTCCCCAGAAATACCTGTCCGAAAACATGCGGCATACCTTCGAATTGCTCGACAATCACAGGGACGCCAGCCCGGTGCATTTTGCGGGCGACAACGAGACCCTCATCCGTAAGACCTTCCTCGCCCATGGAGATGAACACCGGCGGTGCGCCTTTCCAGATTTCATCCCGGCCAGCCACCGGGCTGACGAGCGGGTGCAAAAGGGCGCTGGCGTTCGTGTAGAGGTCCACACGAGGTGGCTTGACAGGCCAGACGTCGTCTTCAGGCACAGCAAGTGGGCGGTAGGCTGTTTCAGGGTCCTGGGTGGGAGGACTCAGGAAATCGTAGACCGAGTTGTGGTGGACAGAGGGCATAGAGCGAGTGATGTCGCACCAGGGGGAGCTGATGGCTAGGCCGGCGGGAAGTTCGATGGGGACATCACGTCCATGGAAGCGGACGGTAGGGCAGACGCGACGGAGTGTGAGGAGCGTTTGGAGCAAAACGAGACAAAGGTTTCCTCCGGCTGAATCACCGGAAACGATGATCTTGTTCGGCGCGACGGGCTCGTGGAGAGAGCCCGGAGGCGGGGAGACGAGCGCAAGGTATGCAGTAAGGGCATCAACGAGAGCAGCAGGGAACGGATTTTGAGGCGCAAGACGGTAGCGCACCGATAGAACACGGGCACTGGCTCGTTTTGACAGCTGAGCGACGAGCGGGCGATGGGTGCACGGGTCGCAAAGGCTTTAACATCCAAGACGTCAGTATCCAAGACACAACTTTCCAGACAGCATTGAGGGCAACTTACAAATACGCCCCTCCATGGAGATACAAAATCACCATATCCTCCTTTGCCTCCTTCTTCAGCTCCTCATACTTGGCTTCTTCCGAGATATCCGGCTGCGGCGCATTCTTGTGCACGCCGCTCCGATATCCCGTCCACTCTGCCTCAAGCGGGATTACTCCGGGGATATTATAAGTTTCGTCGCCCTTCTTCAGGTCTTCAATGGCTTTAATAACCGCATCCTGGACATCCTCTTCTGGCTTGGGGAATGTCACCTTGGACACCCACATGGGACCCTTAATACCGGGGTCGCGCATGCTATCCCTTTGCTGCTTGCCGACGGGCGAGCTGAAAACGAGAAATGAGCGAATGATGGCGACAGTCAACTCGGTGCGCAAGTCTTGTTTCCCCGTTACTGGCGACAGACGAATGGCATGTAGGAGAATGGTTTTAAGAATGAGGGGAACTCGTGCGAGAATCGCCGCCAACAGGCCGAGAGGGTTGTCTAGTTTGCTCATGATGGCAACCTGTAACTTGCAAAATGAAGAACGCAAAAATTATCAAAGAGTAAGCCCGACTCCCCGGGGGAAAAAAAGCAAATAAAGGAAAGACCTGTCCCCGGCGGGAGAAACAAATGTCGGACGAGAAAAGATTGTAGGCGGGGAAAGAAGAAAAAAAAAAAGAAGAAAAGCTAAGGGGGCAAAAGAGAGATAAAATGAGGAGAACCGAACAGGGCAATGAACCCCCGACAGACCCAGAAAAGCCTCGGCTCAACAAAGTGGAGGGAGACGATGGGTCCGCATGACGCAGGCACGCCCGGACACCAACTGTTCCGTTGCCGTCGACAATTACGAAGAAAATACATGTTAGACTGATTATTCCATCTCGGTTTACCATCTAGTTCATCTCAGGGCTATACTGATCTTCTTCCGGACCATGGAATGGCGGAAGTAGAAAATAACCTTCTAAACCCCAGATTCCGTTCGGGTGGCGCACGTAATCTGCCGCCCGTTCTACTACTAAACACTAAGCAAAGCCTGACGAATCTAATCTCATCGGTGAGAAAAACACCCCACTCCTTGCTTATGGATCGTTCATTCCAATGCATTAACTAAAACTATAATAGTACAGGTTTATTGATCCCCATCTGGATCATTTCATGCAGGTCGTCAAGCGTATGTTAAGTGTCTCCATCTGGGGCCTTGTCTAAAACCGTCCAGCAGTTTCCTTGGCCTTGCCCTTAACCTCTCCGGCGGCTTCCTGTGCTTTGCCCTTGACCTCTCCAGCAGCTTCCTGTGCCTTGCCCTTAGCAGTACCGAGTGTCTCTTCAGCCTTGCCCTTGCCCTTGCCGGCCACTTGGGATGCGTCACCAGACAGTTCGTCGGTCTTGGCCTTGGCCTCAGAGGCGGTGCTGCTAACGGTGCCCTTGACCTTCTCGGCGGCGTTCTCTGCCATCATGATGAGCGGGAATCCTAAACAATGAGGTCGAGTAGTATACATACCTCCCACTTCAATGCCCTTCACAGCGGCATCCGAAACCTTGCGGTCAGCCTTCTTCAGGGTTTCCTTGGTGGCATCGATGGGTCCCTTGTCTCGACGGGCAGTAGCGGAGATCGAGCGGGTGGCACCGACAGAGAGAGCGAGAGTAGTGGTAGGTCGGAGAGACAGCGAAGCTGTGCGAGCAGCGGGAGCAATGCGGGCGAGGAAAGACATGGTGGATTGTAAGGTATTCAAGTTGTTGGGATTGAGAGTGGGATGATGTAGAGGTCAGAAGTAGATGATTTAGAGTAGTGGTCAAATAGACTGATTTGGTACTCAATGTTCGAATTGTCAAAGGCTACCTCCATGATGCTGGCATCGAGAATCTTTATAGCTGGTTGAGCTGCTCAAAGACGTCATCACCAAAGCGGCCTGGTTATTATGTAGCTCTTACGTCGATGGACTGTCACTGCAAGTCCCGATTGGGAATAGCGTTGATCGTGACCAAGGCGCGCTTTGGTTCCCGCCCGATCCACCACCACAAACCCAGTCCCGATACCGTCGCGATCGTCCTCTAGTGCATCCTTCCCCTGGCCGGTGACCCGCTGGCTGTTGCGCTCACAGATCTCAACGCGGCGCAACAGCCAGCGGGTACTATCTCATGCAAGAGCATGCTGATGGACTGGTTAGTCTTCTCACAAATCACGAAAAAGTAACAAGAAAAAATATCGAAAGGCACAGAGACATATTCAGATGTTCAGTCGCGTTATCCGATTAACACTAACAAACGCCAATGCAATGCTCCCTCCTGTATGGTGATATCCTTCTTCTACCAACACCTCTAAATGCTATCACTTCTCTTCCTATCTCCTGCTCCAGAAATGCATGGCCATCAAACTCGAACACAAAATCCGAAACTCCAGGTGCTTGTGCTGTCTCCTAATTAATCTGTCACATCATTATCATCACGGTTCGTCACTTTCATTTTTTTTAATTTATTTTTGCCTTTTTATCCAACCTTCCTTTGCCGTCTCTTTACCAACATCTGTATGATTGTATGTGATTTTGATAGTTTATTCACAGAGATCAGTTTTCGTCTCATCGATCATTGACTCATGCTGCCGTCAAAGTCAGGGCGAGGAGGTGAGCTGCCGCTCCGCGCTCGCAGTCCGTGAGAATCCGCCACTGGAATTGCCATCTCATGCGGGATCAATGGCCCGGACAGGTTCGGGTGGTACATGGGATACCCTGGAATTGCTGATGACAGATGTGCGGGATAGTGAACACGCCCACCCAGCCGCTGCCGGGCGTCACGCACATCCACACGGTGGGCCCCGAAATGCAGTGTCGAAGCGGGCTCTGCCGACCATAAAGGGTCCATGGCAGCGACGTGGCCATCCAGTGTATTGATGGGTCGAATTTGTGCCTGTGCAGCGTAAGCTACCTCCGGCTGACGAGAACTGACCGCTGCTGGTGGTTGCCCCTGTTGTGATATGTCCGCGGCCCAGCTTCCTGCCCCGGAAACCGTGTGCGGAGGCGGCACAACATGCGGAACACCACTGGCTATGACAGACTGTGCCGGCGTTGTAGCTGGGAGTGGAGAGAAGCGCGGCGGATACCGGACCGGCTCGGTTGACCAGGACTGATGTGACTGTGAGGATTGGTTTCGCGTCATCGGCTCCGGAGCGGGTTCTGAGGAATACCCAACAAGCGGTTCGGTAGCCAGAGAGCTCGGGGGTGAGATTCCTGGCATGAATGCGGACGGGTGGGCGACTGGCCTCGCTGGACTCGGTGATGGTCCCATGGAGCTTGGTTGGGCCACACCCACGCGTCGTGGTACCGTAACCTCGATGTTCCCTTCAAATGGCAGTGGAGGGGGCGGAGGGATATATGTCAGAATAGACGGTGTACTGGCAGACATGTCCCCCACCGGAGGTGCTATCGGTCGTACAGTGGACAAGTGACGAGTCCGGTACTGAGACTCCTGCGCTATCCCCAGATCCATGGCATTGAGTCGATGTTGCAAGTAACCTTGATCAGGCTCACTGTAGGTCGACTGGGTCATACGATCAGGCTTGAACTCCGCTGAAAGTGGTGATGGATGTGCATTGCTAGAACGGCTCTGCAGCGACTCGCCAGATGACTTGTTCTGCAGTGACAGAAGCGCCGGTCTACTATTGCCTCCCGGTGTCGAGGATGATCGTTTCTTTGAGTTCAACTCTCCATCCTGAGTATGCCTGGCTGCTACTGTAGCATATGTTGGAGCATTCTCTTTGGTCAAAGATGACCTGCCAGTCCCTCGCTTCGTGATGGCTGTGATATCCTCGTGAGAGTGGGGAGGACTGGAGTGCTGTACAGCTGCGAGTGCCTCCGACGCGGATGCAAAAGAGCTTCTCCGACTTTTACCCAATGTGCTGCTTGAAGCACTTCTCCCTTCGACAGGAAATATTTTCAAGACTGGAGCTGCGAGCTGGGAGCCCTTGATGTTACGGGGAAATCTCGGCCGCTGCACTGATCTTTCGTCCTTTCTGATCTTAGTTTTCGAATGCTTCTTTACCACCATGTGCCAACCATGGTCGTCAATAGGCGGCGAAGAACTGGACGTTAGCGATGACTTGGGCGTCTCTGCTTGATGACTCAGTTGTGAAAGCGCTGGTGAGGTCCGGACTGGGGCATTGGTGCTTTCCCTGTCACTCTCGTATCCATTGTCTCTGTCTAGGCTGGATTCCCTGAAGATATGGGGCAAAAATGGCTTGAGGTTGAAGCGTTGCTGAGATCCTGGGATTTCTTGCGGCGACTCTACTTTGGGAGGCGTCATGTCACTCCAGTCCCATCGTCCCTCCTCGGCTGCTGATTCAGGCACTGACGACGAAGAGCTGCTTGATCGATCAAAGACTGATCTCTGTTTGCGGACCGATTCTTGCGAGGAACTAGGCGAGATCCTCTCAATTTCGGTGGCAATACTCCTGATGACCTGCTTCAGATTCTTGCGAGCTTCGCACAGTACTGCAGGCTCGTTCTGGGTCCTTTTGGGCCAGTTTTCGATCAACCTGAAAGCATGAGTCTCATATTCACGGTAGTCTTTGACGAGTCCACAGTCATCAACACGGTCCATTCGGGCCTTTGCACTTTCGTACGATGTGCACAGAACATGAGCAGCGACAACTATCCACGAGTCATAGAAACCAGCGTCAGACGTTCCCGCCTGTGTATTGCATCGCTTCTCTTCCTGGTCCATGATCCTGAGCTCATCTCTGCAGAAACCTTGGACAACACCGTGGGTCTTGATCATATCGATCGTCCCCGCGCCTGAACTCTGATAAACCGAAAAGAATGCATCTTGGCTACTTTCAGTCTGCGACTCTGATAAGTCAGGGGCCACGGACTTCATGTCTAGAACATTATCTTTTTCAAGCTGTGGCGAGAGAGCTTTTGCGTGCAGTGCATACGCGTCCGACACCCTCTCGATCAGTCCGTATCTAATAAGGACCCCAAGAGTCGTGTCGATATCACCTTTCTCACCGGTTCTACTGCTTGTCAGAATATTAACGTTCCATCTGCTGAGTGCGGAGATTCCGAGTGTGATAAGGCCGACGGGGACATGATGGCTGAAGAACGAAACAAGGTTGATCAGGTTCAGTGCTTCAAAGTGCTCCGTACGATAAAGGTCATGCATGATGCTTAGGAAAGGCTCTGCTAGCTTCTCGTCGGTTAAATGAGAGTTGATGTGGTACCTCTCGATTGGCTTCGATGTTGCTGCGAGCCGATGACTGATGGCATGTATTGCCAGAGGAAGGCATTCATAATGCTCAACAAGCTCGGTGGCTTTCTTGATTTGCCCCTTGGTGGGCTTCCTGATTCCAAGGTCTTCGAAGAGTAGTTTGCAGGCTTCCGTGACCTCTAGAGGCTTGACTGAGAGGCAAAACGGCTCATACAGGCGCTGCTTTTTCCTCAGTGTCTTATCGACAGATGTGTAAATGATGCTGCACATCTTATTAAAGGGCAAGAATTGTTTGAAGTTGTTGAGATCGCTGTCTTGACCGAAGCTTACACCATCGAACACCAGAAGCCATTCCTCCCGAGTTTGCAGCCAGTTTCGCACCGAGTCGACATATTTCTGAGAGGTATTGGTGTCTGGATATTCAAATACCTCTCCTTCGTTTAGTGCGGCAGCCTGTGCGATGTCCCAGAAGCATTTGTAGGTTGACTGGCGGGACTTTGCGTCGACCCAGAAGACTCCGCCAGGGTAGAAGGCTCTATGAGTCCAGACATACTGGCGTGCAAGATGCGACTTGCCTGTCCCGGGGCCTCCGCAGATGAGTACAGCCACGAGCCGCTCTGCTCTCTTTTTGGCTTTGTACAGCCTGGTGTGCAATTGATCAAGATGGGCCTTCATACCCACAAAGCTTGCGTTTGGGTGAAAGCCGGGAGGCACCACGAACAAAGGGTCCTTTGGGAGGGTCTGTGATAGGGACAAGTTGATACTATCACCGAGATCAGACACAAGGGATCTTCTTCTCTCGGGCGGGAAGGCAGGTTCAGAACTACCTAAGCAGGAAAGAGTCAGCCTTATCAGACTTGACAATTTGTTGATAGGAAAGCAACACTAAAGTACAGGAAGCCGGTATCACAGCATAAGAGGCAGCAATCATCATAAATCATCATCCGGTTCAGAGAATTGCAATAAATCAAATAGAGCGTGGCAGGATTAACAAAGTGAAAAACATAAAGGTTACTAAAAAGGGGACATGACGTGTTTGGCCTGGTTTGTGCTTTTTTGGCAGTTCCTTCATCATTGATCGCCAATTATACCGGAGAAGTACCAGCTAAATATGCTTGCTATGATGAACTGACGACTCTGGGGGCTCTTCAATCTCATACTCGCGCAGTGTGACAGAAGATGAATGATCAGAAAGCAGAGGTGTCCTACCAATTGTGCGAAGATCTGGAACGCTCCTCCCCATCTGCTCCGGCTCAATACGTTCTACATTCGTTAGTGCTTGCCATAAGAGGGAAAAGGGGCTACATGCCATGGCTAAAGATCTCCCTGATCTTCGTTTGCTTCTGAACACGACGAGTCTTGTCCTCTTCAATCCAGCGGTCTGCGATAGTGTTCGGGGCATCGCGCGAGTACCGCAACAGCGCCTCGGCAACCGCTTCAAAGCCAGGAGAGTTATCATCATCGAACTTGCACATGTGTCTGTGGTCAGCTTCGATGCCCATACGTTCGACACCTTCGGCGTAGGGCGCGGCGGAACTTTCGTCCACAATCAACTCGCGAGTCCCTTTGACATCACTCGACAGTGTCTCGTGAAAGAAGTATATGTGGAACCGGCTGGTTATGTCGGCGAAGAGGCTGTTGATGTTTTGGAGCGTCTCGTTGTTGGTCTTCAGAGCCTTGACTAGCTGAGGAGACGACTCCATGAACTTCTTCGGCATGACGGCACTACAGATGTTCTGCAGTAGCAGGCCCCATTTTGCGACGTCCGAACCGTTATGCGGCGTTCCTAGAAACAGGATCCCGTAGGTGGAGACATAGATGGACCGCAGGTGCTCGATCTTTTCATTTGACACATTTCGGCAGTAAATCAGTGTGCGCTTGACGACGAGTCCACCGAGCGAGTGACAGACGAAGATAATCGGCCTGTCCGAACAGCTTCGAAGCTAGGAAAGTCAGTTAGTCACCCTTCTCCAAAAAGGACAAACCATGGACGCAGATCTCAGGGGACCACTTACATTTCGGTTGGCCGCCAAACCCGACGCCAGAGTTTCGGCATGATTATGGATTCTGTCCTTCGACGCGCCGTCGGTGAAGGCAGTCACATTCGCGTTATAACCATAAGTCAGGATCCTTACTCGGTTTGGACCAAGGATCTCGGGCAAAAGATCGGCAGGCCAAAAGGTGCCATTACTGGAGGCCCAGGTGTTGTAGGGGTGGCCATTCAGTCCATGAACAAACACGATATCAACCAGAGGCTTCTCGGGGCTACAGTAGACCTGAGTCAACCCGTACTGCTTCACGCGCGTGGCAAGGTTCGACATGGCTCGAACTGCCCACAACTGGACGTCGACCAAAACTGATATCGATGAAATGGAGATGCGAGTCAGCGAGACAACCAAACAGAGGATAGAAATCGGAGCGTTGGGTATAGCCTTTTACTTACACCCACGCAGCAAAGATTCCTGAACAGGAAGGCTAGATCGGGTCTGTTGCGACCATGCGCGAAAGAATCTCTGTTAGTCCTGACGAACCGGTGGAGCTAGGAAGACAGATTATAAAAAGAAAGAGTGGCTTGAAGGATGAAAAGGGGGGAAGGACAAGAGGTCAGTTGAGTCACTGAAGAAAAAGAGTCAACAGAACAGCTGGAAGGAAAGGTATTTATGCGGCAACGAGGATTACTTGCAGAGAGAGAGTGAACGAGTGGGCGGGCAGTGGGGGGGCCAAAGTAGGCAAAGGCGCGAGACTGCGAAAGACAGAGAGAGCATGAGGCCCGCAGATGACTGGGGCAAACTGAAGGTGGAGGGGGTGCCTGGTGCCTGTGGTTTAAACTGTTTAGTTTAGTGTACTGCAGTTACTACTAGTAGTTCTGCAGGGCACAAGCTACAGTAGCAGCAGCAGGCCCGGAACCATAAGCAGAGTGAATTAATTACTCAATCAGTTAATGGAATTCCGTTTTTTTTTCTCTCCGTCTCGAAGTCAGTCAAATTATCCTTTCTACCACTTACTTTTTTCATTTCTAAATCTGTATCGGGAGGATGCAGCCCAGGTTCCCGTGGACACCAGGGGGGCTGACCAACTAGAGGTCATGCCGCCCGCCTCGCTGACCAGGAAGATCGAAGCTCACCTGCAGATCGCGGGGGAACTTTGCATCCTGACTTGACTGGTATATTCCATTCTAATACTTTGTATATTCTAAAAATCCATTAAATCAACCAAAAGGAGTCAAAAAGGAATCTAGTCCAGCCCATTCCATCCCGATTCTACAACGTAGATGATGTTATCATCCCATCTCGCATACAATCTAGAACCGTCCATCCATCCGTCAACCCATATACTTACTTTACCCAAGCACAGATACTTGAAACTTTCTCTCTAAGAAGTACTTCCCACAGTAAGTTTACGAAATGAAACACCCGGGCAAAGAAAAAGAACATCATTCCCCCTGGAAGTGGCTGTGAGCTCTGACGACGCCCCGAACACGGCCTAGTCCTAAACTTAGTTTCTGCAGCGCGTCTGGGCAAGAAGGATGACTTTTAGTTCACAATCGGGTTTAATTTGAGCATGAACTAGATTAGAATAGGTAGTTCATCAGGCTGGAGTATGTACTTACTGAGCCCTATGCGAGTTATGTGGTGCGACATTTAATCAATTGAATACAGTGATTGCTCTGCTGCTGCTGCTGCTGCTGCCCCGGAGGATTTGAGTGTCGATCTGCGCTGCCCTGCGCAGGGCTGTGCTGTGCTGTGCTCTGGGCTGCAGGATGTATGTATGTATTGCTTACGACATGATGTACCTACATTTCGAGGTAATTAGTGTTATAGGAGATGTTGTTTACTGTGGCCTCTTTCTTCATTTCTAATGCGATACGAACTGGATGGAATCAAACTGAAGTACGAGGCTGAGGCTAGGCTAGGCTTTGCTTTTTCTGGAGCCTCAGGATGCTTTCTGTGAATTGCGAATCGCGGCTGCCTGGGGCTAGCTAGAATTTCGTGTTACTACGTGTCAGCCATAATCACCTTCATGAGTAGTTTACCAAGTGTAATTGTATATCTAATTCTTGAATAGCAAAATACTTTCAATCCAGATACGTATAGAATAAATCTAATAATCAAAGCATTAAAAAAGAAAGCTGCCAGTGGATCAAAGCGGGTCCAAACAGCCGCGGATGGATCCAGGGTTCAACCCAATGTTTTCTTTCTTCCCGATCGGCAATCTATTGTAGACTAGTAGGCAGCTACTGGCTAGATTTGGCTGATGGATGATGGATTGATGATCATGTTGATGGGTACGTAGATCCATGACGAATGGTTCGTGCTCTGCGGATTCATTATCCTGGGATAATCACCCGAAATGGGCCAGAAGAATTCGTTCCAGGTGAGTCAGAGGTTTGGTGTAACTTGGTCTTTTTGCTTCTTCTTGTTTCTGATCTTGTTCATTTTACTGGACAAGTTGTAAAAATTGTGTGCTTGAATCGTATAGATTTTTCTGTGGCTGGCTTCGTGGCTGGTGGTAGTAGGGATGGTTTACTACATGAAATCTGGAAGTGTGTGTGTGTAGATGACCGCGAGCTGGTTGTGGTTGTGCTAAGTCTTAGGGCTGTAGAGGAGGTATGTTGTGACAATATTGGTTATAGTTGGGAATCAATGCCATCTGCCACGATGGCCTACTTGTTGTAAGATCGTGAGTACCAAAATCAGACCATGTCTGGGTCCTCAAACCTAGGCCTTCATAACAGGCAAGCATGCTTTTGCCTGTAGCATTGTCCCTAGTACCTGGATACTACTACCAAAACATGTATAGTTTTCAAATCCAGGGCACCTAGACTTTGACCAAAAGCAACAACACATTACATTGACTCACATTCGAACTAGTTCTAGAATTCTTCAATATCCAAACCTGTCCAACCTGAGTCACAATATTCCCTGATCGTCTCTCAGCTTACATACGTAATGGGGCAACACAACTCTTGCAGATGACTCTCTCATCGCCCCCTGAAGACGGGCTTCCGCTTTTCCGCGAACGCCCTGAGAGCCTCATACCGGTCTTCGGTGCCAATCACACCGTCGTACGCCTCATTTTCAGCCTCCTCGCCCCGTTGGAACTCACTCACAGCCTTCAAGGCCTGCTTGATGGCAATCGGCCCGCCCTCACAAATCTCCAATGCCAGCTTGATACTCTCCGTGAGGACCTTCTCCCTCGCCACACCATCCTTCGCTTCCTCTTCCGGTAGCACCTCCACCAACCGATCACAAAGACCGATGAAATACGACTCCGGGCCGGATACTCGCCGTCCGGTGAGAATCAGGTCCCGTGCACGGTTCACACCAATCAGACTGGGGAGACGATAGGTACCTCCAGCACCAGGGATAATGGCCAACCTTGTCTCGGGAAGTCCAACCATACACGAGGAGCCGAAGACGCGGAGATGTGTGCTCAGAGCGAGTTCAAGGCCGCCGCCCAGCGCCATTGAGGAAACGGCGGAAATGGTGGGGATGGGGAGCTCCGAAAGGTTGCGGAAGGTGCTTCGCAAGTTGTATAAAAATTCGGCTGTTCTAAGCCACGATAATTGCAATGGTCAGTAGTTTGTAATGTGGCTGCGGGAATTGGAGGATTGCGTACTCTTCCCGGCTCATGCCCGCGCGTTCCTTGAGATCTGCGCCCGCGCAGAAGGCCGAGTCGACGTTGCTGCCGATGACCAGGGCACGCGTTGGCCCCGAGCCCCCTTCAGCGGCAATAGATTTAACATTCCTGGCAAGACCGTCGAGGAGATCGCGGGAGATTGCGTTGCGTGCCTTTGGCCGGTTCAAAAGCAGGACCCGAATGTTTCCCGATCCTGGGGCGGGAACGTGCTGGGTCTGGATGACGGCATTGTCGCTGCTCGTGCTAAATCTGGCTACTGTGACGCGGTAGGAAAAGGCGGACCGTAGGGGAGTATATATAGATAGACGTGGAGGCATTGTCGTTATTTCCAGGGGCGAGGTGTATAGCTATTCAGCAAGGGATGAGGCGAAGGAGCTGTGAGCTTTGAGCTCGGTTGAGAAATGAGCAGTGCTTGAGGGCCGCTGTGGAGAAAGCCGGGCGGCTGCGGGGAAGCCGCGGATAAGCGCTTGATGGAATATAGTGATTAAATCGCTCTATTTTACAGTTCTATTTACACTAATGTACAGCATGCCTATAGCGATCGCCCGCCTCGCGAGATCCTTGCTCCCCGTGAGCTATATAATCCAAAACCTCCTCATCACTTGGCCATGAACCCCAGACTTGCGAAGTAGTGATGATATCATATGCCTCCTGCAGGCTGGCGTCGGAGAATGTCGCGGAGTCAGCTTCAGAGTCGTTGTGCATGTGCACATCATGTGTCTGCTCCATGGACGGCTCCCACTCCCGGAACGCCTGGGGTGACCTTCCCCAGTATCCCTCCAGAAACATGCGGACGGCGACAATGATCCGTCGCATCATCCTCTCGCCATTCAGGTTCTCGTCATACTTCTCTTTCAGTGCAGTCTCGTACTGCCGCATCCAGCGAAGTAGACTCAGCAGGCCGTCAGTGTCCTCGGCTAAACCCAGCGCCCGCACAAAAGAGTGTAGAACTGCGGGTGAGGGAACGTGAACCAAGGATGGCACGGTCACTTGAGAAGCAGTGGCATCGTGGATTGAAGATCTGCTTCGCTCGAAGAGAGAAGACGTCTTGGGGTCAAGGAGAACCAGCTCATCGAACCGGGATTTGAGGATGTTGAGTCCACTCTGCACCATATCCTCAAAGCGTGTCGAAACATGATTCATGCCGGTCAGTCGCCCTCGCCGTGCGAGTTCGCTGACGATTACAAGCCCTTCTTCCACCGCGTCGGGATCCTTGATTCCCGCCACCACGACCCGTGCAAAGCTGTAGCAGAGGACCTGGAACGCTTCCAAGCTAAGCTCGATTTGACGCTTATCCATCCACGCTGTGAGCTCCAAGACTTCGTACCAGGATAGTACCAACCGTGCGTGCCGTCCCAATCTGTAAGATGTTGAACCAACGCGGTCTCGGGCCAGGGCAGACATGACCGGAATCCACGCCTGAGGAGAACGCGACGGTTGCGCCTGGAGAAGCCTAAGTGCATGCGCCAGGATTTTCGGGTGACGAAGATCCTCGCGTGTCTTCAGCTCTTCGGAGTATGCAAAAAGCGTAGTCGAGTACGAAGGGTTCGTTGAATGACGGCCCAGGAGTATCGGAAACATATCTCCCACAGAATTTTCAGAGTGCGCCATGCTATGATGCCCAACAGTAGAGAAGTTACACAGAAATGTAACGAAGGATGAGATAAGGTAGTCGGGAAGACCGTTCAATGTCTTGTTCTCCTGGGCTTGTTCGCCACATCTTTGACCTGACACGGTACACAAATCCTCTAATTGCTCTTTTGTCAAGTCACTGCAACGAAGGTAGTCCAACCCCGATCCAAAGGTCGGTGCATTGCGCAGAAGCAAAGCTAGAAATCTTCCTCGGGGCCGAATACCCTGCGAGAGCATTTCACGAAGAAGATCATCTAATGCGGGTGGTTCCGTAGAGACATAGATCCAATCTCGGACAGATGACGGCTCCGCGAAGACCTCTTTTCCGTCACCTGGTAGTGCTTGGCTGCTTTGATGTGGGTTATGTCGAGCTCTCTTTTGTCGGAATATCAATTTCTCAGCCATCGCGGCGTAAATGGCACCACGCGGAGGCAGTCCTTGGTCGCGGTAGGAGAGGAAGCATGCCCAGGCTTCCCGCACCGTCCTCGTAGCCCGGATCCGAGCTACCCAAATAGCGTGGTGCTTGGGATCTCCGGAGGGCCCTGGTACAGTCTCCGGGCGAGGTACTAATGATCTTGTTTGAATTGTTGGGCTTTTGTCTGTGTCCCAGCCTGCTAGGATACTAGATACCTCTTCCCAGCGAGAATGTGAATAACCCGCCTCTTTCATTTGTGATAGTACCCGCATTGCGCGGCTTTTCATACCCTCAACACCCCGCTTGACGTCGAACCCTATCTTGTCTTCCTTCCACGGGGGCCACGACGGAGCTTTGAGCTCCGCAGATTGCCGTTCTGCTAGTGTCTTCTTATGAGCAATTTGAACCGCGACAATACCCTGGTAGCCACGACGTGTCACGGGCAAAGCAGGCTGATGTCGCGCCATCGCTCGAAGAAGCTCAAACTGTGCTTGTTGCTGCAGGGAAGCGGATGTAAACGGGTTGTGTCTGCAGGGCAAGGAAAGTATCCGGAGCACGGTATTGAACTTGTCAGCCATAAACTGATTGATCCGTTCTGTCGCGACCGTCCAACCTTTGCCTTCACTCTCGAGACTATCAAGATAAAACGCAAAGGCGCGAGCAATAGTAAGCTGAGCCTGTGGCCATAGCTCGCGAGCGTGATGTAATAACCGAACAACATAAGTCACGCACATGTTGGGTTCTATCAGTGGCTTTGCGATCACACCCTGTTGCTCAAGCTCTAGATCGTCGGTCATCGCTTCCATAGCCATGCTGGGGGTCGGAAGAGCCCGTCCGCTTAGAAGGTGCAGGGAATAGACCAAGAGCAGTCGGAAAGCCTTGGCGTCTAGACTTTGACGCAGGAGAAGGAGGGGAATGAAAGGCGGCACCATCTTGATGGAACAATCTGGGCTTGAGCTTCGATCCGCTTCTAAGAGTAAAACTCGAAGGATGGCTTCGTAAGGCGTGCTACTCTTGAGAACCCATGCCCATGCCACCACATCGGCGGCGGAGTATTGTCGAGCTGCAAGATAGTTGAGGTTGTCTTCGCTGAAAACTAATTGCAGCGCTTCTGTCTCCGATAGTGAATCAGAACTCATGCCCGAGGTTGCTTGATCCGAAAGGGGATCCACCAGCTCTATGTAATCGGCGACAATCCTCTGTAATGAAAGCCGATGGTAGCGTTTGAACTTGTCCCGTTGCCTTTGTGTTAGGGAAGCCATGATTCCAGTGTCCTTGGTAGTATAGACCCAGTTGCAGCTTCCGGTGCCATGAGACTGATGCACTTTTTGCAAGGTATCAATAAGGTACTCCGTAGGAGTTGGCTCAAGGGGCGAATCGGTTCGCTTGGCTCGCTTGCGTGTGTTGGGCGATTTCTTCTCCAGCCGTAAGTGTTTATCCTTTCCTCGTTCCTCCGACAATGGTTCTGTGTGTCTAGTCAGGCGTAGAGGCTTGGAATGGCCGTCTGGGTTGTCGAGCTGGCTCCTGCTCTGCTCTCGGCCTCCACCTTCTCCAAGAGCCCTGCTTTCCTTCCCAATCTCGGTTTCCTGATAGGTACCTATAGCATCATCTCTGCTATCTTTTTGGAGTACAGAGTTATCGCTCAATTCTTCCCCTGACCCTCTGACGTCTACAACTCTCAGGCCGGGCAAGTCCGGACCCCCGCGTGAAACATTGTAGGACTGACTTAGCGGGGTCTGAAGACGTATCTTGAACCAGTTGCCACTTGGACTACCATCGCCTTTAGTGTCTGGTTGTTCCGTTGCCAATTGTTGATTTTGCACATATCCAGACCGGAGATGGTCCGGGCCCCCGAGTACGCTTAAGACCCGAAACGAACGAGTTTGGAGACCGCCATGACAGAGTTTTGTCGTCGGAGCCGGTGTGGATTGGAGAAAGTTATAATAGGGAAGTCCCTATCGGAACAATTCCATAGTCAGTATAATGAACGATATGAGGGACGACATGATTCCGGGATACCTTCCGCCAAACACGGCTGTTGGACAAATGCGCCGCTCTCAGAGAGGAAACCCTCGAGCGGCTCGACGCATGACTTAAGACCGATGACATCCATGAAGAGAGGACATTGAGTAGCCACAGCACAGTCAATCCCGGACGTGATGTCGCTTGTCCTTAGTAGTCGACAAATAACAAGAGCGGCGGCCGCATGGAGCATCCCGGCGATTGGGGAAAAAAGCTGGGTCACGTGATTGATTGTCACGAGTTGCGGTTCTGGCATGGCGCGCAGGAGGATCTCGCTACTCTCCCGCCTGGAGATGGAGTCCGTCTTGCGTCCTTCCAGCTCTGCGCCCTGAATCGCCCTGATCTAGCCTACTTTTGTGGCGTCAAGGAGCTTGTTATTCCGTGTCAATCTACTATCGTTGTGACATTGCCGTGTGCGTCGCGATCTAATCCTCCCTAGCTGCAGCGTACCGCTTCTCGATCGAGCCTCGTAACTATTGGCGCATCCGCTTCGGAGAACAAGGAACACTCAATCACCGACGACTATTTTCCGCCTCTCTCGAATCATATCCCTTCATTCCATTTACCTTCCATTAGTTTTGGCCGATTGTGTGTTCACTGTTACACTCCTTCGCCAGTTGGACCTTCCTGAACGGCATCGCAAAAAAGAAATAAAAAAGGCCGTTTTGTACTCGCGTCAAAGAAGAGTTCGAGAACAGCGCGACCCGAAATAATGAGTGCAGACGAAGGCGGAGGGACGGCCCCGATGCCGGTCACAAATGGCGACCAGTCGCAAAATACGCCCGAACCATCTGTCCTGGCGACTCCAGGCAAGCGAAAGCGTGTCGCGAGTCACGACGAGAAGGCCGCCCCAGACACTGGCGCTTCTGCGACGCAATCGCAAGAAAAGGCAAAATTACAGGAGACGCTACGCAATTTGGTGGACATTCTTAGCAAGTGAGCACTCCGCATCACCACTAAATCGTGACTGCTTCCCACTGACCCATGTCAGGAGTGATGCCGATTTGCATCTTCTATCCTGCCCTCTACCGTCGTCGCCGGCAAAACCACGTTCGAAACGCGCAAAGGTGTCCGGTGATAAAGACGAGAGTTCGAGTATTCAAGCACGGGTGGCGTCAGACCGATACGGCAGTTTGTCGGAGTTTTTGAGCGATATTGAGAAGGCGTCGGCAGCGGTGATAGAGCGGAACAAAGCTCAGGCAACGCCTGCTTCAGCTGACGGATCGCCTCTGACGGAGACTGTCAACCGCATTGCGGCATTCAAGAAACTCCTGAATAGCCTTGTTCGCCAGGCACATGTGAGCCAGGCCAACATCAAGACTGAAGCGTCGGAAGAGGACGGAGAAGCCCCAGCGAAATCTACTCCGACTAATGTTGAGACCCGTAATGACAGCCTTGTGTTGACATTGTTTGGGAACCCCGCAAATCCAAAACAACTCTACTCAAGCTTGCAGAAGACCGTCAAAGTTCCACTACCTTCGGATGACGCTAATGCAGAGAAATTTGTGGAGGTGCAAGCGCCCTTGCGCGAAATCGGTTTGCCCAACGGGATCTCCACCACAAAGGTGCAGCCACTTGAAGCAGAGACTGCTGTCAAAGAACATAAGAGAACTTTCGGCGATGTGTTCGCGCCTCGTGCAACACTGCCCCAGTTAGAGGCGCCTCGCAAATCCAGAACTTCTACGCGCAATGCTACCAACGGCTGGATCGATCCTTTCGAAGCTATCACCGACTATAAGGCCTTCCTCGGGGGTCGCAATAACTACTGCCTTGCACCTCTCCCCTCGGGACATTGGCTTCAGTATGGTGGGGTCACGTCCTCTCCGTCTGTCTGGAGCCGTCGGCAGAAACAGCATTCTTCTCAACAAGCGGGCGATGACGTTCCAACCGATGACCCTGCTCTGATTATCGACGAGGATGCTGCCCTCTTGCAAGGAGTGTACTCCTCTTTTGCTCCTTCGTTCGATAGCTCTGGAGCTGTGGAACAAGCCGACACAAAAAATCTGGTATGGTGGAGCAAACGTGGAGCAAGGCGTTTGAACACACTCCTCTCGTTGCCGTACGTGGAAGATGAACAGAAAGATTCCACCTCAGTCCAGCCCGGAAGTATCGGCGATCTTGACGAGTCCACTCTCGAGGAGATGGTGAAAACGTTCAACCCCGACGATTTCGCGGACAATATCGTGCATACAGATAAAACTACGGAAAAGGACGCTCAAGAGCGAGAAATGGACGACGTATTGCGCGATGTCTCTGATCTGCTAGAGACCCTTAGCTCCTACCAAAAGATTCGGAGTTTGGAGACTACGGCTTCTAGCGGTCAAGGAACTGAGCCTAATGAAACAACGCCCGATGTCACAGGAGCAGACACTCCGTCGTCGGCAGAGCAGACTGTGTATGAGACGCTCAAGTCAAGTCTAGCAGCTCTTGTCGCAACTCTGCCACCTTACGCTGTTTCCAAGTTGGACGGTGACCAGCTGGCCGAGCTGAACATTAGCCAAACGATCCTGATTGAGAATCCTGAGTATCAGGGCACAATGGAAAAGGATGACTATGCTTTGCAGCAGGAGCGTGCCGCTGCCCTGGCTGCTACCAGTGGTGCGAATAGAACTTCAACTCCTTCACGTTCCGGTAGCTTCCAGGCGCAGTTCAACCAACGATCATTCACGGCCAACGCGCGAACGCAGCCTCAGACTTTCCAGTCGCCACAACCTTACTATGGGGCAAGGCAGAGCTCCACGCCAGCGCCATACACTCCTGGTCATCCCCAGCAATTCGCTGGAGCCCGCCCTCCGTCAACGCCGCAGCAGCGACCAGGCTACTTCCCTGGATACGCGCAGCAGCCCACCCCGCAGTACAATCAGTACCAACGTCCCGGCCAGAACGGCTACCACCCTTACCCGGGACAACAGGGGCCTCCCGCCGCGGGTCAGGGATCTCCGCAGCCCTACACACCGCGTCCCGGACAACCTGCGCCCTATAACGCACCCTTTGCGGCCGGTCGCAGCGCATCCCCCCAGAAACCTCCTTCTTACGCTACCCCCCGAGGCTCCTTCGGTCCTCCAGGCTCAGCCAACCCACAACAACGGTTCGTGCCGCAACAACAACAACAACAACAACAACAACAACCAGGCCAGCAGCCCCCTCCATACGGAAACTACCCGTCGAACCAAGCCCCACCGCCATCGGGAGGTTATTCCAACTCAGCTGCGGCCATGACCTATGCCCGGAGCGCTGCCGAGCAGGCCATCATGATGGAGAGGAACAAAGTGCAATTAGCAGCAGCAGCTCAAAACCGACCCAGTTCAGCGACACCACAGCCATCAGGCGAAGCCTCCCAAGAACGAAGTGCAACGCCAGGAAGCAAGCAGAACGGCACGCCAGCACCATGATGAGCGGGGGATATGATGAGACACGGTCGAGATGTAGGGATATGCGTTTGATTAACTCTAACTTTATTATTCGTCTTCTCACTCTTTCTTAACCTCTTATTTTCAACTTTTCTTCTCTTGTTAACACTATACCATTTCAATTATTTTACTTCTTCCTTTCCCTTCCCACTGGTCTTTTTACCACTCACAGAGCTTAGAAAACAAATCCCCCAGAAGAAAATAACCCCACATTCGGGAAGAAAAACAAACAAAATCAATACAATGACGAATTCCAATATGTGTATAGTGGTGGTCAAATCCATATTGGATAATAACCTTCCCACTCAGCAATGATAACCCTTCTACCAATTATTCTTCTATCTTCTATTAATTTCCTTTTAATCCTTTTTTTTCATCCCCCTGTGTCACAACGCAACAATTCCCGAGTGATTGATTGCTTTTCTTTCTAGATTTAGCTTCATATGCAAGTTCTGGTTCCTTTTCTTCTTTTTTTTTTCTTTATGTCAATCCATTAGGCAACGACAGGACGGATGTTTTTCTAAACCATTGGTATTCTACGGGCTTGTATGGTGGGTGGATGAATGGATGGATAGGATGTGTTTATGTTATCTTTCATCTTGTTGGTTTGCTTTGCTTTGCTTTGCTGTGCCTTACTTTACTTTCTGAACTCCTTTTTGTATCCCCCCATTGTTACATTCCCAATGGAGTTAACTTTACTATTGATTAACCAGAGTCATTGAATCAATGAACAAATTATCTACATTGTTCCACAGTTTAGGTAGTAGTAGAATTGTTGTTTAGGATGACGGTAATGATAATCGGATGCTCGGGTTGAGATCTATTATTTCAGTACAGGATTCATTTAGGAAGTGTGTAATTGCAAGTTAATACTGAGTTCAAATATCCCTATTGGTAAATCATCTTTGAGAAACGAATGTAGTATACAGTAATCTCATCATTATACACGCTCAAATACATGACAAGAATCAATCAACCAAAGACAGGAATTAAGAGGTAGATAGTTAAAGTATGACGAGGAAGAAGAAATAAGGTTCTGCTATTTGGCGCACCCTATAACCCCTTCTCACCCCAGGCTGTCATCTGTTTCTCCAGTCCAGTGTCGTTAACGCCTGCCCTATCTTTTTAAAAGATCCAGTTTCTCAATTTGTTCAAGGCTCAATAATATCCGAGTGTAAGAAACGCTAGAACAACGACGTACGCTACTTAAATAAGATTCGTCGAGTCATTAGTTTGATTAGTGGTGATCGTAAGTAATGGTTGGTTTAGGGGATGAACATTGCGGTGACGGTCATGAAGCCGAAGTATCTGAGTCGCGAGGTTAGTTATTGTATTGTAGTGAAGAGGAGGGAAACATACATGGTTGCGCATCGCCAGCCGTCCCGAGAGTCAACAAGCTGGTCTGCGCTGGTGGAGTTGGTGGAGGCGATGATTGATGCAGCGACTCCTACGAGTGCGACTACGACGAGACGACCGGAGAACTCGGAAATCATGCTGAATGCGAGCAATGGTAGGAGGATGGCAGTAGAGGCAATGATGATGGTGGTGAAAATAGGCTTCGCGGTCGAGGTAGAAGCCATGCGTGGAGTTAGAGAGATCAGGTCTTTGGTGTAATCGAGGAACCGTGTCTCAGCGGCGATGACAGGGTTGGTTTGCTTCATCCAGTTCCGATACGTATTAATATCCTGCGTAGAGGCGCGGGGGAGCGTTTGAAGGACCCTGCTATATGCGCTGAGGGCATTGTCTAGTTGAATTGTTAGCATTCCGATCCACGATCGGCCGGCAGCTGGCACTTACTGTATTGCTCGGTCTTTCGAGCTAGCGCACTGAGAAGCTCCTCACGTCGGTAGTGAACGGAGGAGTATACCTGTGCTTGGGCATCCATACGCCGGGAGGCAGGGAGCATTTTCGTGCCCTCTTGCTCGGCCGTTGCGGCCCGTTGCAATTCCTCGTACTCGTCCACTAGGCGCAGGTCTTCCTCCATTTGTGCGATTTCGTCCTGAAGATGAAGCAGGACGCGGTGGTTGAGATTCTCGAACCGGCGGTACAGAGGAGGGAGACGGGGCTCCTGGGTCTCCGTGGCGGAGCTCAGCCGGGTAGCGAGGAGGCTATATCCGGAGATGTCTGAGGATTTGGTGTTGCGCCTGTTCCGTCGTGTGGGCCGGTGAAGATCTTCTTCAGGGCTTCGCGGCGGCGATGGGGGTAGTGGCGACCGCTGAAGAGAGACAGAATTCTGAGGGTAATACGTCTCCGGTCTTGCATTCAAGTCCACGCTTCGTTTCTCATAGTAGTTCGAGCCGTCGGGAAACGCCCCCACCGCACTGTATGCCCCGTCCAGTGAGGGTTTATGCGCTGGGATGTGGCTCTTCACGGTGTTTGAGGTGACGGTGCTTGGAGGAATTTCAATTGAACTGGGAGTCTTCTGAGAGTTCGCCGAGGACTTGGACAGTATGGACGAGGTACGGCTGCGGGCATCAGTGCCTTGCGCGGCGGGGCGATACATCTGACGGACTGCGTTCTTGTATGCCCCCTTGGCATTATTGCTGGGTACGTGATGCTCGTACTCGTCATCGGACGAATCATCCGTTGTAGTCGAGTTATCTTCAAGGTACTCGAACACATTGGGAGCTTTGCGATCGGAATCGTGTTTGTTCTGAGCTGCTTGTGGCCGCGCAGTGGACCCGTTGCTGTTGCTCTTTGATATAGTAGATTGGGTTTGGCTGTCTACCTTGGGTTTCTCCACTGATAGTTTGGGGCCTTTGGTGGAATGCGAGTTTGAAGAAACGACTGAAGCCGTGGATGCTCTGCTCGTCCCATCTTTCTTAGATTTTCTGGAACGAGTCGAGCTAGAGTAGAAGGGCATCATGGGTAGATAGGGTGGTTAATAGCGGTCAATATGGTAGCTTCAAAAGGCCGCAGCGAAAACTAGTGTTTCCGGCTTCAGGCCATACCCCAAGAGATGAAGAGAGAGAACAATCAGGGTGTACTCTGAGAGGGTAATGGTGTTTGGAGGGGAAGCACCCAGGACATATCAAGGGAGAAGGGTAGGGCCTCAGAGACGGCGCGAATCTCGGACGAGGGTCCAAGAATGTAGGACAGAATGCGGTTGATAGGTCTCTTCCTCCCTGTGTAGCGGATCGGAATACCCTTGACAAGCGTAGTCTGAAGATCACTGACGGACTATGGATCACTCCACTGGAGATCCCGCCGATTAGCCTGGTTCTTAGATCGGTTTGGGGTCTAGGCAGTATAGTGAGAGCGAGAGAGAAAGAAATTAATTGTATAGATGGAAGGTAGACAGGATGACAGTCAGAACCGGAAATAGTCAACAGTAAATACTGGATGGACAAGGCGAATCAGCCCCCAACACCCAGGACGAAGATGAGACAAAACTCCGACAAAAGCGACGAAGAAGAGCGCTGAACAGGTCCTTTTCTGGGACGCGAGGCAGCCTTGAGGGAGTCTCATTCGTGGTGGTAGGCGCCCCGAGTTCCTGATCTGCTCCGATCGCGAGGGGCCCTTCCCTGTCAGAGACGGGATGTCGGATGCTTTCTTTTTCTCGTTTGCGAGATGGAAGATTTATTAATACATGGACTGAAAATGAGAGGAGTAGAAAAAGAGAAGCGCAATGAAGAGCAGCGAAAAGGACGAGGGAGAAGTAAAAATAAAAATGAGAGAAGAAATACAGAAGAAGGTGGGATGTGCAGAGGATCCACATGCGATGATAGTTGAAGAGCAGCAACCCGACATCTTTTTCTATACTAGGGCTTCACTTGGGGATCATCTGTTCCCCCTCCATGCTGGTACATCCTCGAAGTTTATGCTGCGTTGGCTGACGGTGACTCGCTGCCAATCCCACCTTGCATGACTGAAATTCTTCGGCGTTATCGTTGTTGGACACGATGGCCCTAGGTCATTCATCCATCCATCCCCGGCGATGAGTTGGTGAGAAGCCATTCATGTGCTGGTATTGAGGGGTTATTGTTTGTATCTAACTTTTATCCCGCTCTCATTTTCTGTCTGCTTTGTTCCGCTGATCCGCGGGTTGAAGTCAGAATGCATGACATTCCCTTTCCTGGAATTACTCTTGGAAGCATGACTTGCAGCTTGAACCGCTGGCACTGGCTGCCTCCGAAACTGTTCACAGCGCATCGCGAATAGGATGTCCTGGAACACCATTCGGGCATATTCTCATTGGTGCAGATGATGACTACTCTCGCACTAGTATTCCCCTCCATTTCATTCCTTCATTCCAGTTAAATGTAATGTATACTTTGTTACTATTTGTACTGTATATTGATATGATATCTATTATCTCGATGATATACCAGCGGTGAGGGTAATTACGGTATGGTACGGGCCGTGATCTCCGCCGCGCTTAATTCCGTCCTTCATCATCGATTCCAATCCAGATTCCAGACTCAAAATCGTGCCAATTTCTTCGCCATCTCTCCCACCGCGATCGGTCCGATCTTCTCTTCCTCTCGTGGACCCGTCCTTTCGCCTACCTTCCTGCCCTCGGGCTCATGCTTCGACCGTGGCTTCGGCAGTGCCCGCGAGCAACCCGCTCGCTCGCCTGCCCGCAATGCCATCTTCCCCGGCCGCAGACTTCCAGGCGCGCCCTTAGACCCCTCCCTGCCTTGTCCCTTTCGCATCCCATTCGATCCCTCCAAACAGCGACGACCGACTCGCCGGACCGCATTCCCCTGCGAAAGCAGCTGAAACAGGACGCCAAGGCCGTCAAGGCGCGCAAGCGACAGACTCGAGAGAATGAGGAAGCCTCCCGACAGAAGTGGGAGTTGACCGTGGGCATTGAGATCCACGCGCAGTTGAACACCGAGTCCAAATTATTCTCGCGTGTGTAACTGTACTCCAGACAACTGGATTGGATTGTTTGGCTGATCGGTGAGCAGGAGCGTCTACATCATCTACGGATCTGCCCAATTCAAACGTTGCGCTGTTCGATCTAGCATTCCCGGGGTCGCAACCGGTTTGTGGATGAATTCTCTATGCATGTGGTGCAGACACTTACAGCTATGGTGTAGGAGTTCCAAATCGCAACGCTCCTCCCCGCCCTCCGCGCCGCCCTTGCTTTGAACTGCGAGATACAGCCAGTCAGCAAATTCGACCGCAAGCATTACTTCTACCAGGACCAGCCGGCCGGATACCAGATCACCCAATACTACGGTAATCCATACCCCTCCCTCTCTCGCAGCCGATTAGTGCCCTGACCTAGAGTAGAGCCTTTTGCGAAGAATGGCTATGTAGACCTGTTTCGCCATGATGGCATTGCGCCTGAGGACGGCGACACGGTTCGCATCGGCATCAAGCAGGTCCAGATGGAACAGGATACCGCCAAGTCGCAAGAATACCCGCCCTCGACGCAACTCCTCGATTTCAACCGTGTCTCCCACCCCCTCGTCGAGATCATCACTATGCCGCAGATCCATACTCCCGCCACCGCGGCGGCCTGTGTTCGGAAGATCCAATCCATCTTGCAGTCATGTAATGCGGTGACAACTGGCATGGAGCTGGGAGGTCTGCGGGCTGACGTCAACGTCTCCATCCGCCAGCGAGGTGACACAGCCGGCACGCATCAGTACGGTGGCATCAGCGGACTCGGACAACGCACGGAGATCAAGAACCTGAGCAGTTTCAAGGCGGTCGAGGATGCCATCATTGCGGAGAAGAACCGGCAGATTGCCGTCCTTGAGAGTGGCGGGGTGGTAGAAGGTGAAACCCGCGGCTGGACGATTGGAAGCACCGAAACGCGCAAACTACGAGGCAAAGAGGGGGAGGTCGACTATCGCTATATGCCCGACCCGGATCTTCCGCCCCTCTACATCGGCGCCGACCTCGTGGCAGCGCTTCAGACCAATCTCCCAACGTCCTCGGATGCGCTTATTGAACTACTGGCCGGGCCGGAGTATGGGCTGCCCATTGAGGATGCGAAGCCGCTGGTGGAATTAGAAGACGGCGCGCGGTTGGAGTACTATCAGGAAGTCGTGGACCTCCTGCGAGCGCTGCAGTCGGATCAGGACCTCAAGGCACAGAAAGGACTGGCGCGGGTGGCCGGCAACTGGGTTCTTCATGAGCTTGGGGGTCTATGGGCCAAAGCGGAGGAAGCGTGGGATGCGACGCGGGTGCCTGCCCCGAGCCTGGCCGCGCTAATCGACCAGCTGCAGCGGAAGCACATCACAGGGCCGACGGCGAAGCAGGTACTCGCCATGGTGTTCGCGGGGGATGAGCGGCCGATCCCCCAGCTGCTGGAGGAGGAGAACCTGCTGCTGCGGCCACTGTCGCGCGAGGAGTATGTAGCGCTGGCGGAGGCAGCAATTAACTTGAACCCCGCCATGGTAGAACAGATCCGACAAAAGAACCAACTGGGCAAGCTGGGCTGGTTTGTCGGGCAGATGATGCGCATGGGCGAGAAGGGACGAGTGGAAGCGCCGAGAGCAGATGCGATTCTGCGGGAGTTGATCTTGGATCAGCGATAATGTATACCTGTATAGTACATAGATAAAGCAATAGATAGCAATAAGCATGCATGATACCCATCACACGGTGATTTCCCCCACCCTTATCCCCTCTTATCCCCGAACGTCATCTGTCGGAGGTGAATTGCTAATGGAAACGGGCGGAGGAAGTGGATGCTCTCCTGGACCTGTACTTAGGGGAACAACCGTTCCCTAAAAGCAGGTCTTAGCGATCGCGGACGCCCCACGGCTGAGAATGCTTTTTAACCGGCTCATCGCCCCTGCAATCCGGTTTCATTCTTCTTTCTTTCAGTATTATCTGGGCTCTGCTTCCTCCTTCATCCCTTCTAACTTCTCTTCTCTTTTCCTAATTCTCTCCTAAGGGTCCAACCTCTCGTGGTGGTGCTTTGGAGTCTACCTCGGATCGTCTCCACTCACGATCTTATCTCATCTTTGGGTCCGCCCTTCTAGAACCTTTTCTTTTTCTTCCTTCCTTCATCCCACGCGACTTACCCCTCCAACTCTTCCCCTCACCTCTCCTCTCTTTCACACACATTCACCATGACTTCTCCTTCTACAATCCGGCAGAGATTCCTCTCCAAGCCCAACCAGCTGGGCGTCGTGGCCGTTGGTTTCAATGGCGGGCAGGTACGTACAAAAGAATTCCATGACGACGGATCCGTCGATCATCTAGTAGCGTGCATAGTAAAAGGAAGAACCCCCACTAACCACGCACACCCCGACCACAGTGCAAGATGGGCGTCGAAGCAGCCCCGATGGCTCTCGTTCAAGCCGGTCTGCTCGAGCAACTGCGCGACGATCTGGGCTACGAACTGCACTATGACGAGAAGGTCCACCACTACGAAGATAAGATGCCCGAGTCCGACCCCGACCACCGCGGCATGAAGAAGCCCCGGTCGGTCAGCGCCGTTACCGAGTCGCTGAGCGCTCAGGTCTACGAGCACGCCAAGGAGGGCAAGTTCGTGCTGACCCTGGGTGGTGATCACTCCATCGCTATCGGTACCATCTCCGGCACGGCCAAGGCGATTCGTGAGCGACTGGGTCGTGAGATGGCTGTCATCTGGGTGGATGCGCACGCTGATATCAACATCCCTGAGATGAGCCCTAGTGGTAACATTCACGGTATGCCCATGGCATTCTTGACGCGCTTGGCTCGTGAGGAACAAAAGGATATCTTCGGCTGGCTGCAAGATGAGCACATTATCAACACCCGCAAGCTGGTGTACATTGGTCTTCGGGATGTGGATCGCGGTGAGAAGCAGCTGCTTCGTGAGCATGGCATCAAGGCTTTTAGCATGCATGATGTTGATCGGTAGGTTTCCTCCTCCTCCTTACCCTCAAGTATCTTCCGATGCAGTGGTGTTCTGACAACCTGCAGGTACGGCATTGGCCGCGTGGTCGAAATGGCCCTGGCGCACATTGGCAATGACACACCGATCCACCTGTCGTTCGACGTGGACGCGCTGGACCCGCAGTGGGCGCCTAGCACGGGTACCCCTGTGCGTGGTGGACTGACACTGCGCGAGGGTGACTTCATCTGCGAGTGTGTGCACGAGACGGGTAACCTGGTGGCGATGGATTTGGTGGAGGTGAACCCCAGCCTGGAGGAGCATGGCGCTAGCGACACCATTCGGACGGGATGTTCGATTGTGCGGAGTGCCCTGGGAGATACCTTGCTGTGATGCAGAGGCTGTGGCTGTAGGGGGTGAGAACTAGAGTAGAACTAGAGAACTAATGAGCAATCTGAATCAATCAATGTTAAAGCTTATCCGGAGTAACTCTAATTAGTGTAAGCTTGACCATGCGGAGAATGGAGAATGGAGGATGATGGATGGATGTAGATACTACTACTAAATTTACCCGCCCTGCCACCGCATTAGTTTCGTCCTGCCACCGGAATTTCCAATGCCCCATCATGAAGAGTAGCAAGTGCTCCATAACTGTCTTTCTTTCATTCTCTGAATTACTTTTCTCGCAATCTTTCATTAACTTGTCAATTGTCATTCCTTGATTTTTCTCGCCCCGATACTTTGATACCTACACATCAAAGCACAGTTCTAGACCCGCCAGGCATCATATCATATCCGCCCAACCCACGCCTCGCCTCGCCCCAGCTTCCCCCATATCGGTCAACCCTGATGCGTTGTCAATACTAGACCTAAACCAAAACCAAGTCGAATGAGGGTTAAGGCGGAGTTATTGTTTCAGCCTGATATGATGATATAATAGGATATTAAATTGATATCACCATACCCCGGAAGATCATTCTTGATACATACTACCACTACCACTTCACTCTACTACTACTATATACATCGTCAACCCAATTGTCTATATACTACACACCACACACATCTATACTCACCACCCCAACACCCCAAAGGGCTAATCCCATTTGAAAATGGCAATGCGAATCTACCACCGCCGTCCCCGCCGCTACCACTGGCCCGAACTCCAACTCAACATCTGGATCATCGTGGTTCTCTCCTCCTCCGCAATCTGTCTCGGAATATTCGCCTGGTTTATGACAGTTCAAAATGACTTGGGGTTGGAAGTTCCTTGGTACGATACTACCCTACCCCCAATTCCACTCCCACCAATTCCACCCCCAAAACCATCATACTAACAACACCCCCCTCTCTCTTCCTCCTCCGGAGGAGTGGACTGGGGATTGAAATAGGCTCTTCCCCTACATGATAACAACCGGCGCCCTGGGCATCTTCTTCGTAATCTTCATCCTAATCCTCGCGGCGCAACGCTTCCTCCTCCCCGGGATCATCATCATAGGGGGGTTTATTCTCTTCGTGCTGTGGTTAACGGGACTAGTGGAGACATCGCTCCAGCTGTATGGGGTCGTCGCGAACGTTAATGATAATTGTCGCAATTATATTGATAATGTTAAGCCTGTGGGTGATGGGTGGAAGACGTTGGCGTGGATTGAGGAGGAGACTATTTGTGAGTACCCTTCTTTTCTTTCTTTATGATAATTTGGGGGGGAGAGTTTGGGGTATGCTGACTGGTGTTGTGGATAGGCAATTGTTGGAGAACGGCGTTTGCGTTTGAATTGGTGAATACCATCTTTTATGTCTGGATGATTATTATGTCGTGGCAGGTTAATCGGGATCTTTATCGTTGAGTCTGTTTTTCTCCTCAAAGAGGAGAAGCGGGGGGTGGTTCATGTATTATGAGATATGATTGTATGATTTCAATGGATGATATAGAGCTACTAGGTTATGCCCAATTTTCATACTGGTATCTGTAGCATATATTCAGTGTTGTATTTTCCTATATATCTCAAACGCCCTCGCTATGCCATCACTTATTGGCAAACATGGCAAACATGGCAAATATCACAACGCCAAATACATCCAACTAAATATCCCAACCTAGCTACCGGACTATCCATTCTCGTTCGCAATTTGTTCCTCCGCCTCCGAATTGTAATCCCCTCCCTCCAGTGCAGCCATCATCTCGCGCTCCAGCTCGTCATCCTCGTCGGCCGGATCCACCTCTGCGGGATCAGGCGGGCTCGACTCGTCAGCAACCTGCTCCGGCTCCTCTGTCCCCGGTTCAGTTGCAGATGCTGTTGTGCTTGCAGTCGACTCTACCGCCCCTGCGCTGGCTACCTCCTTCAGCCCCGTGCTGCGCTCGTATGACCGCTTGATCCGCTGGGCTAGCCGCGAGCCTGGCTCGTCGCCCTCGCCGGCACTATCCGTATCCTGATCGTCGTCATCGTCGCCGCCTTCTCCTTCCTCGCGCTTCCGCTTCTTGCTGGCAGGAGTGCCTGACTCATCCATGAATGTGGTTTCGCTGTCGCTCTCGCTCTCATCGTCACTGCCCAGGAACTCCTTGAGCTCATCGTGGACCGCGGCCTGCTCCTCGTCGTCGTAGCCGAGGGGCGACATTTCGGATATGCCTGCGGATTTGAGGATTTCCTCTGTTGCCTCTTCGTCATCCGCTACAGAGTCGCCCGTTGCCTCGTCCGACGATGAGAGCCACGCGCTCTCCGCTACCTCTTTGGATCCCGGTGAGATTGGCTCGCCACGGTCGTCTGGATGCACAGGCAGGAGGTACGGTTCCTCCGCTAAGCGTTTCCATTGCGTCAGGCAGTCCAGGAGCCATTGTGTCGTGACGATCTTGACTTTCGGGTACCGGGTCGCTTCGCGCACTTTGGCTGTGCGGTTCCGCCCGGCGACGAGATGCGTGGTCTTCATGTTGATCTTTGATGCAATGACCGCCCCGAAGCTCTTCGCCCAGAGGGAGATGTCGGCGTTTTGTGTATCCGTGCCGAGGGGAAGCACGCCCGAAAACACGAGGGTCACGCCGCCGAGGATGCGATGCTTCATTTGGGGCATGATGATCTTGACGTCTGGGACTAGTTTTAGGTCGACGTCCTTCTCTTTGGACGGCTTTTCGCCGCGCAGGGCGGCGACTCGTCCGCCCAGTGCCCGTGAACGTCGTCGGTCGTATTCGTCGAAAAAGTCCCGGTGTACTTGCTCCAAACGCACCTCGAGGTCGAACAGCTCCCGATCATTGTCCTCCAGTAGGTGATGTCGGTGCTTGCTCAGATCTTGGGAATCGTCTATGCTGCTAGATGTATCGCTGCTCTCTGCTGCATCGTCCTCCGCGTCTAGCTCCTTTTGCTTCTGCAGTAATGGCCGGTCCTCCACTTGGTGCATGATTGTCTCCTCTTGTGCATCGCTTTGCTCCTGTAATAACCTGGGGTTATCGCCACCACCCATTGTTACCAGCTGTTCCAATGTCGATACCTCTGTCTGGTCGTCCCTCTTCGCCGTCGCCCCGTTGACATGATGTTCCGCCAAACCCCCTTTGGCTGCCTTGGCTACCGGCTTCTCGCCCCCTTTGCTGGGAGGTCCCAGCTCCTGCTTCTTCGGGAGGAAACTAGAGTTGATGTCCCCGATGCCGACGAAGAAGTCGTATGGCGAAACCTTGATGAGATTGGGGTTCCAGCGCCAGACGTCCCCGCGGTCGTCGATAATGACGACCATCTTGGTGTCCACCGGGAACAGTCGGTGCAGGTTCTTGGCCACCAAGCTGCCACTCTCATCTCGGCTGAGAATACGGTCACCAAAGAGTTTGCGGTCTGGATCTATGATACTAGCGATATGTTGCGCATAGGATCTCGTTCCCATGGTGTAGATATGCAGCTCATACATCTCCGACACATTCTGCAGAAACGACTCTAGTCCCGGTCGTAGCTTCACATAGTACCAGCACCCGCGCATTCCCGGCCCATCGTCTACCAGCTGAAACGCACGCACATCGCTCAGAGCCTGATAATTCGGGTTTTCCTTGTCCTGCATCCATTCTCCGACAGTCGGGTCGACAGTAGCATGAATAATGGTCTGGTCCAGATCGACGACCAGCGACAGTTTCCGATTCGCCAGTAAGCGGCGTTTCGCATCCTCTTCCACCCGCGTAGCTTCTTGTTCACTGACAGTCAACGTGGTATTGTCGTGGGCCATCTGAATCGGCGCGCGATGCACATCCGCCACCTCGGTATTGTACGAAAAACTGCAAACAATCGTAAGCCAAGCCCAACACCAAACCACTGTTTTCACCTACTCAGTCATATCCTTGCCACAAATGGCACAGAGCCCACCAAACTGGACCTCATGAGCACATGGTTCATCAACCTCCAAAACATCGACCCTAACCAATTATCAGCATCCCAACACCAGATCCAAATGAACGACAGCAGGGCGTCAGAACATACGGCTCATCGATGACATCCCCCTTTTCAATCTTCCACTGCACCACCTCCCCATCAACCGTCGATTCGAACTTCGTCGGGAACTTGCGCTTCACATCCACCTTATTTCCCAGCCCATCCCCCTCCGTCACAGTCGTCTGGTACACATACCAGAATAGCGCCTCATCCCGTTCCACCTTATCACCGGGCTGTTTCAGCAGCGACGTGACGGTGATCGGGTAATGGAGGCTAGGCGGTAACCGGAGAAGCATGCCTGGATAACTCTTTCACACGGCTCGGCTCAGCAAGCTCTCCTAGTAATTGTAGGTATCCAACCCCCCTCCTGCCTCCCTAACACCGAGAGTGAGGCAGTGTCGGGCGAGGGGCCGCGTACGGGTTTATTTTCGATAGCGAAAGGAAACGAAAGGAAGAAAGAAAAGAATCGAGCTCGATAGCTATGAAGCCATTCCCGAAACTTCTGCCGTCGGTAGGAACAACAGCGACCTAGCTTAATCGCAGCGGCGCACGAGGATCTCGATACGAACGAAGTGTCTTTGAATGGAACGGGGTCAGGTGGACAAGTGATGGAGTTGTCGCGGGATGGTTCGCCACGCTAGGACGCGACGAAGTCAATAAGGCGGGCGCGGGTTTGCGCTGTGGAGGTGTATCGGGTAAAGGTGGAAAGTGGGTCAATCTGGGCTCGTAATATCGAGCGCAGACGAAAAGACAAAGAAGCGATCGGGTATGAAGATCGAAGAACGGCTAAAGAGAAGGGCAGTTGCGGGGGATGATGAAACAAAGACAGAGCAGAGAGAAAGTCTGGATGGAGGAGGTGGTGAGAGCGTGATGAAGAAGGCTTGGCTGCCAAGAGAGTTGCTTGGGTTTGGCGCCTGGCCTGTGCGGGGCGAGACTCGCCGGCCCAGACTCGGCTGGTACCGCGGTTGCTTCTTATTGTCACTGCATCACACAGCTTACGCCAAATTCATTCAGTTTCAAGTTGTTACTATCATATTGCGTAACCATTTACATCCTAAATGCCAATACATGTCAAATAATATCAC